GCGAAACTTCGACGGGCCATAACTTCTTCGTTATAACTCGGATTTCGGCGTTCTTTATATGTACGGAAACCTTGTGTGGTTAAGATTATTTATTCTAAATAATCTTTTGTCAAAAAGTCATTTTCGACCCCTATTGCCTCTAAATTGATTAGCCCGGATCTGCGGGCGTTACAATTATCTCCCCTTAAGATGATTACGTCCCGGAATCATCAACGAAATAGGGTAGTATAATGACTCCATATGTTATCTCTTCATCCTAGTTAATAATTATAACTTCTATGCTGCTTCGAACGAGTATCTAACTCTTGCACTCCTTGTCTGCAGGCGGTGCTCGGTCTTGCACCTGCTCGTTAGATTGTCAATCATGACCTTCATGTAACAACATCATTCTTTATCAGAGACTACTTCTTCTTCTTAACAAAATTAGGATAAGTTAATTTGATTACTACAATTGACTGGTGTGTCATATTCTAATGACCTATCATCGTATGTTGCAACGCTAAGACTCAAGTCTCTTAGAGTCAAATTCCGGAATGGAATATGCCTTCCTTCATGGTCTAATGTGTTATAATAACATGTAGCATTTCTAGCCACCAGCTTCTTCGAGCGCGATATTTCTATTGATCGCTTTGATTTCAATCGTTTGGTTTAAGTCGGACGCTACATCGACCTTGATTTTCTAAACCACATAGCATACTTAGCGTAGTCGGACTCAATTCGATATGACCACTAGGGTCGGATTATCAACAATCTTCTTAGTCATTACCGAAACGATGGTAACAACACACTTGAATAAAACGAAATCAATTACTAGCTTCTTGGTAACCTTGTGACTTTCACTGATCCAAGTGTGAGTCCTGTGCTTCCGGTAGTATAGGCCTCTACTACCATTCACACCTACTCATACTCGTCCCAAGTATTGTCTCGCAGTTTCCCAAGTCACCATGCAGCAAATCACACAACAATTTCACACACCAGATAACAAAACAAAGATTTTATTATTTCTCGAAACTATTACATAGGTGTTCAAGTTCACCCTAGACTATGCCTCTACTAGGCTACATCATACGAAACTATGGCTACTGCATAATCCGATCTTCGGGTAAGAAGTCCTCATTCTTGATTCCTTGCATGGTTCTCTGCCTCGTCAAGGATCATGTGAAATGCCCTCGGCCTTGGTGGCGTTTCTGGTCTTGCTGCTTTATTTTTCCTTGGGCAGTCTCTGGACATGTGCCCCTTGCCTCCACATCCGTAGCATACTTTATCATTATGCGTGCAGTCTTTGGAATAGTGACCAGTCCTCCCACACTTGTAACAAGTCACTTCTTCGTTGCACTTTCCACCATGCTTGTTCTTGCATCTATCACACCATCTTGCTTCACCTCCATCTGCTCCTCCAAGCTTTGAGAATTTGCTTTCCTTGTTCGGCCTCGAAGATCCTTCAAACTTCCGCTTCTCTCCTACCTTATCTTTTTCTAGACCCTTTTCTCTTATCTGGGCCTCTACGTTCTTAGCTGCCCTAACAGCTGCTTTCAAAGTAGTTGCCATTTTGACCATTGGGCCAAAGTCAGTGGGCAGTCCGTTACCAAACCTATCAATCTTGGAGAGTTCAGTAGGCACCAAGTAGGGGAATAGCTTCATCCTTTCGGTGAATGCGGTGGCATACTCATCAACACTCATCTTCCCTTTCTTCAGGTTCTGAAACTCGTTGTTTAGGTCTATCAGATCTATCTCCGAGTAGTATTGCATTTTCAACTGTTCCAAAAACTCTTCCCATGATATCCTTAAGGCTTCTCCTCGTGGCATCGTATCTGCCAATAGCTTCCACCAGCTCAAGACTCCAGTTTTAAGCTGTCTTATTGCGAAGACAGTCTTCTATTTCTCGTTACAGCTGCAGCTCTCAAAGGCATGACCGTACACATCCTCTTGTTTATAAATCATGATTTTGGGAGACTCTGATGTTGAAAATGTTTTGAAAACTATGTTTTGTAAACAATTTATGAATTTGGGTTTGTTTTAAAAAGTTTAAATATCTTGTGATTATTTATGGGTGTTACAAAGAGGCCGAAGACCTCTGATTCCCGTACCAGAGGCTAGTAGAGTCAGGGCTGTTGCGTCAAGTGCGGTAAGCCATACAATGCGGCTTATCGAGTGACGGGTTCAAGAGTTTTTAATTGTGGTCGTTCGAGCCACATGAGTAGGGACTGCCCCAGGGATGCTCTGATTTACTTCCATTGTAATCAGACCGACCATAAAAAGGCTGATTGAATAATTAAATAATTGTACTATGATGTTACAAATATTATGATTTGGTGTTGGATTTTAAAACAATTGATGAATAATTTGATAGACTTCCAATGAAAAATTTTATTACTGTTTTTGGGTTGTTACGGTAGGAGGTTGCAAAACTTCCAGATCTAAGGTTGTTTTAAGCTTCAAGGTTGTTCTCCTTTCCTTCTTCTTCCTCTATGAGCACCACAACACACACAAATGGCTAAAGAAGGCTCAAAAATGAATTAGGGTTTGCAAAGGTCGAAGTTGGGGCTGGAGGTTGATGAAAGAAAGAGGACTTGGGACTTAAGGACGCTTAAATAGGGCCCCAACCCTAAATATTAGGGTTTGAGGTTTTGGCAAGTACACCCTACGTACATAATGTACGCCTAACATACACGTGCTCAGACTAAAAATTACAAAATGCCATTTTGGGGTAATTTGTAGCAATTCTCACACATAAGGGCTAAAATGCAATTAACTCTCGTACTTAGGATTAAAAATGGAAATAACTCAACATCAAGATGTTACAACATCAAAATTATCATTAGAAAATGTAACAAGTTCAAAAGAATGCAACACATATGCTTCTATTCCTAAAACCCAAGTCAATCTAAAGGCATATATCTCATAAGAGTGCTAAATTATGGTCTACATACCAAACAAAATATTTAAGTTTCAAAATAGAGTGATACTATATCAAAATCATATCATAACAATGTTCAAGTTAACCACACAACCCGTGCCTTCAAAATATTCTCGCTAATCATTATTCCAACTCTAGTATTCAATTTGAGTACATGTTAAAATAATTTAGGTAATGAATGCCTAGTGAGAATAGCTGAGGTTGACTCATTTATAGTAAGTGGTGATATCAATAATCACACTCGATTCAAAACCCCACTAATCAAATGGAAACATGAAATATTCCAAACTAAAGTTTAGGGTGTTATAGACCCAAATTACAAAGTCATATGTTAGTTATTACATACAACTCAAAGTTAGAGTCGACGTCAACGCCAAAGTTAAGGATTCACTAACCCATAATCCAAAATCAAAGGTTCAATATAGTAAAATAAACCAAATTATAATATAGGACAACCTTGGTTAGCTAACAATATCAACAAGCTTTTAAAGTTGTAATAAAATCTATTTGTGAAATTCAATCTACATTTAATAGTAATGCACATTGTATCCATTCCACTCCCAAGTCAATCTCAGTAAGTTCAAGCTCACAGTGATGATTAATTAGTGCTCATGTGCCAACTTCAACCAACACAAATACACTTGTAACACCCCCTTCTAGTTAAACTAGGTGACTTATGAACCATCACACAAACACCACATAAGTGGTAGTTAGCCACACTCGTTTCCCATCCTAAATAAATGTACAAATAGGATGCTAAAAAGGTTTTGAAACCAACAAGTTTCTCAAGTGAGTAAAACATTTTCGAAAAAACGTTTCATGCTATGCATAAATGATACTTGTAGCATGACACATTGCATATAAGGTATCATATATAAATATCAACAAAGAAATATGAAATACAAAAAGTAATATAAGGACATGTACTCTCGCTAAACACATCCCAAGCCAAAAGCTAAGCCTCCTTACTTTTTAATGGAAATAAAGAGCTTCTATTTGTCACATATTGATTAACAACCAAAGGTTACAAAATGACCAAAATACCCTTGAATGGTTCCCAAACTTTCTTAATCTTATTTTATGGTTAAAAACACTTATTACAACTCTACATGGAAGCTTTATGGGCATTAAGAGGTTAGATGTCTTGAATACATAACATAGAGTTGTTTTAGGCTCATATAGTTATATGACATGTGTAAAATTTGTATTACAATTTATATGCTCATTTAATATACATAGCTAACAATTTCAAGATCTTTTCCACTTTAAGCATTGTATTTTGGTTTTTGCTCCCTAACTTTACCAATACCTATATATGACTTAAACAAGTCATGACATCTATTAATGACCTTTAATAAGTACTTAACCCATTCATGACTTAATATGCGAAACTCATAATATCTTATGGATTCAAGGCTTCCATTAAGACATGATTTATCTCTATGTCATAACCAATGAGTTAATTATCTAGGTACAGTGGAAGGCAACAAATTTCACTCTAATTAAAGTATCATCATGTTTCTTAAGGAATAGTGTTTTGAGGTTATAAGTTTTGACGAGATGCGATGAGACTAGAGCCTATATGCGGTGATGCTCTAAAGGTTCAAAATTCAAATACTTTTTTTTCTCTAGTTCGTTTATTGTTTTCATGGTTTAGTGTTGGGAATAGTTTTTCGACTCTTTTTTTAACCCTAGAAGGTTCAAACTTGTGAGATTCAACATAGGTTCATTCAAATTAAATTTTAGAGTGTTTAAATTGAAAGTGATCACCATACCACATTGATGGTGGTTAACTTTTGGTTTTGGTTTTTTGAGTTTTAAGGGTGTTTTGGTCTTCTTATTTTGTAGACTTTTGTACTCTTTTTCTCTAAGTTCCTGCTAGAATTCTTAATTTAAATTTTATATCGTTTAAAAAAGAAATTATAATAATATAAAATACATGTTTAAATTCCCGTCGAAAACCAAATCGTTGTTACTTGTATGGTGATATTCCTTTTTTAGTTTTTTTTTTATTAAAAACGCGCTTTTGACTAAAAAAGTATTATTGTGATTTGTGTCGTATTTTTATTTTATTTTCAGATGAGCCCAATATTGGATCGGAGGACCGTTTGACGAATTACTGAATCAGAACAATTTTCACGAACCAGGCTACGCAAAACAAGCGTAGTATAAATCTCCCTCTCTCCCTCTCTCTCTCTTTCTCTCTCTCTCTCTCTATACATTCACTCACTTTGATACAAGGGAGGAAAATCCAGTTAATCATCGAAGAAGGATACTCTGATTCTGTCTGGATTACAGATTGTTGTAGATATTTCGCTGGTTTTTAGAACCCTAATTTTGCGCATTTTTGGATGGGAATCAATTCAATACATTGGTGTTGAACAAAGTGATTGAATTATTCGCTGCAAGTATAATCTTGGTGGATCTGGTTATGATGAAAAAGTGGCTGGGGAGGTTTTTGTTTACATCAGAGAGAATTAATTTGAGGGGATTCATCGTCGGTGGTGCTAGGGTTCTCTTGTATGTTTGACAAGAAATTAGGGGATCATTATGCAGCTACACTTCTCACCTAGCATGAGAAGTGTAACGATATCGAGCAGCAATGGGTTTATTGACTTGATGAAGATCAAGGTCGCAGCTCGGCACATTTCTTATCGAACTCTTTTCCATACCTTCCTCATCCTAGCGTTCTTGCTACCTTTTGTTTTCATCCTCACCGCTCTTGTTACCCTAGAAGGTGTCAACAAGTGCTCCTCATTCGGTACGCCACTACTTTTTCTTTAATTAATCACTTCTTGATCTACTTTTCTCTCATCTAATTGTTATAATACACACACATATATATGTGATCAATCAGAAATTAGGACTGCATTGTAGATCTTGATTTCTTTTATTGTTGTTATTATTGTTTCTTAATTCCATCAACCGGGATGTGAAAATTATATTTCAACCTCTCACCACCTTACTGTTTCTAGATCTTGATTTGACTCTTTGGCTTGATCAAAATTTTGACAAGAAGAGTGATCTTAGGTAGAATTTTTGGATTCTTTTCAAGTTAAAAGTTGATAGGGAAAGGAGAGTATTTATTCTCAATATGGTTTGCTTAGATGGGCAAGCAATCTAATATGCTTTCTAATCTTTCTAATTGAGTTCATGGAATCTTAAATCCTATATAATTAATCTATATTTCCATGATGCAGATTGTTTAGGCAGGCGTTTGGGTCCAAAGCTTCTTGGAAGGGGTGATGATTCAGGGGTAAAAATACTACTTAACAGTTTCTTTATTTTTTAGTTGTTAGATACATTTCAAACTCTACATGCATACACTGTATCTAGAAACTTATACCATTGTCCTTCTTGTGGAAAAAAAAAACAGAAACTTGTTAAAGACTTTTACAAGATCCTTAATCAAGTGAACCCCGAAGAAGTTTCACATGAACTACAAATCCCTGATAACTTTACACAGCTTGTCTCTGAAATGAAAAGCAACAAGTACAGTGCCAAAGATTTTGCTATCATCTTGAAAGGAATGGTATGAAATTGAAAGCCAAGAGACAACATTGACATCTTTTTGAATTGAAGAAGTTTCACCATTATTGTTTAACACGTTTTCTAAATGAATTTGACAGATGGAGAGATCCGAGAGGGAGATTAGAGAATCTAAACTCCAAGAACTAATGAACAAACATTTTGCAGCAAGTTCAGTTCCAAAAGGCATCCATTGTCTCTCTTTGAGATTAACCGATGAATACTCATCTAACGCCCATGCACGCCGCCAGTTGCCCTCACCGGAATTTCTCCCTGTTCTTTCTGACAACTCATATTACCATTTTATCCTTTCAACCGACAACATCTTGGCAGCTGCTGTTGTAGTCACTTCTGCAGTCCAGTCATCTCTAACACCTGAAAAGATTGTTTTCCATGTCATCACTGATAAGAAAACATACGCAGGCATGCATTCATGGTTTGCCTTAAACCCCATCTCCCCTGCCATTATTGAAGTCAAAGGTGTTCATCAGTTTGACTGGTTGACCCGAGACAATGTTCCTGTTCTTGAAGCCGTAGAAAATCATAATGGAATCCGTAATTACTATCATGGAAATCATATATCAGGCACTAATGTTGGTGATACTGTTACTCCAAGATCATTTGCCTCAAAATTACAAGCTAGAAGCCCTAAATACATATCCTTGCTCAATCATCTTCGCATATATCTCCCAGAGGTAACAAGTAATTTGATTTTCTCGTAAATTACAAAATGGTCCCTATGCTTTCTGATTTTTACCATGTTTTTGCAATTTTGGCCCCTTGGCTCAAGTTTTCATATCGATTTTGGTCCTTGTTTCAAGGTTCTTAGTCTAGGAATCAAAATCAATATGAAACCTTGAAATAAGGACCAAAATTGAGAAAGTTATCAAATTTAGGCTAAACACTGTAAAAATAGAAAGCACATGGACCCTTTTTGTAATTTATTTAAAATTTTTGTATGCATCTGAAGTTTAGATTTGAAAAATGGTTATTATATGCACAGCTATTCCCGAACCTTGAGAAGGTGGTTTTCTTGGATGATGATGTTGTAATTCAAAGGGATTTGTCTCCACTTTGGGAAGTTGACCTTGGTGGAAAAGTCAACGGGGCTGTTGAAACGTGTAAAGGTGAAGATTCATGGGTAATGTCTAAAAGATTCAGAAACTACTTCAACTTTTCTCACCCACTGGTGGCAAAAAGTTTGGATCCAAATGAGTGTGCTTGGGCATATGGGATGAATGTGTTTGATCTGCGTGCATGGAGGTTGACCGACATAAGAGAAACCTATCATTCATGGCTTAAAGAGGTATGTAATTGTAATGTATCATCATAAATCATAATTTCTTTCTTTCTTTCTTTCTTCTTGAGACATGTCGCAAAAAAAGATAATTTTTTTAATATATTTGTTGCAGAATCTAAGGTCGAATTTGACATTATGGAAACTTGGGACTTTGCCACCAGCTTTGATTGCATTTAGGGGACATGTGCAAGGTATTGATCCTACGTGGCATATGTTGGGGCTGGGATACCAGAAGAAGACAAACATTGAGAGTGTAAAGAAGGCAGCTGTGATACATTACAATGGGCAATCAAAACCATGGTTACAGATAGGCTATGAACATCTTCGACCTTTTTGGTCAAAATATGTGAATTACTCCAATGAGTTTGTCAAGAATTGTCACATCTTGGAGTAGTGATTGCTTTGGGCATGAACAAAAGGATGTGTAAAAGAACATTCAGTCATATATATATATATGGGAAGATCAAAGTATGTTGTCAATTATAGAAGAAGCAAGAAATCATAGCCACAAATAGAATTGGCAAAAGTCAAAAGGACAAAGGTTGCCACCTGGAACAAAGATTAATGCATGAGTGAGAGTGGTGGCAGTGTAAGAAGATTGATTCTTTTTGCCTTTTTGGTATGTAACACAAGACTTTCTTTATTTTTGCCTATATTTTTTAGCCAATAGGAATTACGTTCAACTTTAGGCTAATTAGCTTAAGAAATTATGATGATTCTTTCTTAATTTTCTCTTGATTTTACATATAATTGTGTCTTGAGTTTTTTACTTTTTATCTTTTTAGGCAGCAGTAGTAGTACAAGGTTGGAATTGCTTTGTTACAGGAACTTCACATATGCCAAGTATTTGTATTCATGAGAAACATTTATAATGAATGTGCAGTAAATTCTTTTTTGATTTTACATAATTGTGTTACGTTATGCACTGATAGGAACTAGTTGTATGTTGTGCATGAACAATTGTAACATCATCTACATATACATTCATGGGATGGAAAAGAGAGCTAGATTTTTGGTAAGAATTGCAGCATCATTGCTCGTGTCTTATGATCAGCTGAAAGCCCAAGTTCACGCATTTCCTGATACAACTTAGTGGCCGATTCTGTCTTTTCTCTCAAACAAAACCCCTGAACAGCAGCATTGTAAAGATGTGCATTTGGAGGAACAAGCTGCGCATAGTAAAAAAGTAAACCCATAATTCATACCATAATTGCAACTGATTTTAACAAATTAAACAGAAAAGTTAAAACTCACTTTCAAGATTTCATGCACTTCGTCATAGAGGGAACCCCATATGCAAGATCTAATCAGTGACAACAAAGTTAAAGTGTCGGGATTGTGTTTTTTATGAACCATGTGTTGGTATACCTGCAATGCAACTTTTGGCTCATTTCCAACCTCACAAGCTCCAATCACACGACAATATGATGTAACAGGAATCTCCAATCCCAAATCCTCCATCTCCCATAGTATCTGCAACCCTCTTCTCCAAGATCCAAGCTTGTTGCAGGCTGTTAATGCAGTATTGTATAAATGCAATCCCAACTCAGATGGGGATTCTTGCTGGATTTTCTCAAATAACTCAAGTGCATCACTGTATTGATCCGCTCTACATAGAGCAATGAGAAGTGCATTCCAAGTGTATGATGTAGGAACATGCCCTAAACATCTCATGCAATCATACACTTTAAATGCAAGATTCACCTGACCATTGTTCCCAAGTGAATGAATCAATGCATTGAATACAATGATGTTTGGATTCTCTTTTCTTTTCATCATATCACGAAAAACACTTAACGCGAAATCCCATCTCCCATCTTTCACAAACGACATTACTGCAGCTTCCATGGTGCGAGTGTCTGGTTCAACCTCGTTTTGAACCATTTCAAGATACGCTTCAACTGCTAATCCGTACTGACAAAACCCTAGAAACATGGTGACTAACAACCGATATGTTACTGAGTTTCCTACACAGTCGTTCTCCTTCATCTTCCTCCAAATCCATTCACTTTTAATCCAATCTTTTTCGTCGCGACAAAATGTCAGCATCATGTTGAACAAAACTTGGTCGGCTTTTATTGTTTCTTCTTTATCGTCTATGAGCTCCTGAAACATTTGAAACGCGGCTTCAAAGCCTCTAGCTTTTGCAACTCCTTGTAAGATTAAGTTGTAGCTATGTCCACTTGTTCGACCACTTGATCTCATGGATTCAAAGACTTGCAGAGCATCATCAAGCTCTTCCTTCCTCAACAAACACGAGAGAAGAGCATTGAAGGCATGTGATTCAGGTCTTAGACCCATGAAATCCATGGAGGCGTAAAGCTCCAATGCGCTTCTAACCTTATCTGCTCTGCTCAGCTTCAAAAGGCGCCACGACAGATTCTTTTCATCCCTTTCCTCTAAAAACTGCAGTCTGTTCTCAGAAACAAGGGAAGAAGGCATGCTAACATCGTCAACGTCTTCTTCTCCATCGTCCCACATGGGATGTTCATTAAGAACCGATCCGTATGCTATTGAAACCTTGGGTAAATACCTGTCAAGTCTAGTACTTCCAGAATTACGGCAGGAAGACACTACTCTCCGTTTCGCACTCCAACTGTTCGATGTAATGTCTGAACTAAAAATTTCAGAAAATCTTGAAATATGTATGCGTGTATGATAGTATTCAGAGAGCCCAAGGTTCGGTACATGAAAAACAACCGAAGTCGTCAAAGATGCAGCCATAAATCACCCTAAGCAACCAAGCTTAGTAGCTTTCACTAATTCACTCAAAAAGGTCGAGAAGCGAACCAAGAAAATAAACTGAAAATAGGTCGAGATAGATATTCATATAATACAGACGCAAAAAATTTCGCGAACGTCTACGAAGGAAGCAGGGTTTTGTGTATTGACTCTGTGAGTGGAGCAGACTGCAGAGAATTTCAAAACTGTTTGGACCAAAATGGAGAAGGCTCTGGTAGCAAATGCGTATTCCCATAAAAATCTTTCTCTTTTCATATCTTAACAATGTACCATTTTTTATGCACAACGTACAAACCAAGAGACAGTCAATCTCGCCTTGACCTTTCCCTACATATAAAGTTCTGGGCGCCCCCTTTCCCTAAAACCCTCCTTTTTCAATCCCAGGTTCCCCGCGCAACGATTTTATTAATGGAAGAAAAAAACGAGCTTGCAGAAACGGGTAAGTTAAATTACGAGTTTCAGAGCGTAAGTATTAATTCTTTTACTCTGGGTAATGCTCGATTAGGTCAAATTTGATACTAAAGAAAAACCCTTGTATAATTTTACCTTCGTTTTGATGCAACATACAGAAAAAGCAGAAGATGGTGAAGAAGTAGCAGTAGAGGAAGTGGAGGATGAACAGTCGAAAATGGAAGGAATGGCATCAATAGCGTTGTTACCAGATGGGTCAATCTCGGGTCATTTTGTTCATCTTCCCCATTCCGTTTGTTACGGCATTCATGGCACTGGTATTTCCGAACTTCATCGATGCATTATTTCCCTTTTCCAAATACCATTGAAGCTGTTTTGTTTGTCTCCATCTCTAGAAGATGTTTTTGGGTAATAAATGTGTTGCCATGAAAACAGAGATAGCATGTGAAAGGGAATGTAGCAGGGGTGAAGACTACCGTTTGGTCAAACTGACTATAATAGACTTCAATGTAAGTTTAATCTTTAGCTTGGCACTTATATAATCTTTTGTAATCAGTTTTTACATGTTGTTACAGAGGAAGAAAGAAAGGGATGTAGTGGTTGAACGAAGAGGCCATGATGCTGCACGCTTATGTAACATTGATCATGCTCATGGGTGGGTATTCATTATGTAAAATAATAATATTTTTAGACATTATTTACATTGTAAATATATTCAAATAAACTCATGAATTTTTCCATTTCTTGACAGATGGGAGAAGGATGTGGTTAGTTTAGTTGCCAACGAGCAAGAGAAGAGGAAGATTGCAATTTCTTTTGAGTGTGAAACGCTTAAAGCTGATGAAGCAGCAGAAGGGCATATTAGGCAGTTCATGCCCAAATTAACTGGATTGGATGCTGTTGGTAAGCATATCTAGTTCATACTCAGTGGGATTTGTGTTTCTCAGTTGTTAATGAATAATGAATGTGCACCTTAAAAATATGCAGTTAATATTGGGAAGATGAGTATCACAGGTTTGGACTTCAAAGCAGAAGTGGGACGTGTGGAGCCAAGTTCCTAAACTTATGATCCAAACAACATTTTTGATCCAAGTATAAATCTACCCTTTGTTAAAATTTGTTTATATAAAATCCATCACTGTTAGAATTAATGATTCGTTTGATGATAAACATGGTTGATGAAGCTAAATGCTTGAGAGCGATTATATTGACGGAGATGAGTAGTTTATTATAGACTCAAGATGAATCTAACTATAGCAACAATGGTCCCTAAACTATATGGAAGTACAAAATTAGATATAAGTATGCTAACAATCAAATTTTAGGCTTTTATTGTAGGAAAAAGGCAGTCACATATTACAAGATTTGTCGTCACAAACATTAGTTACATTTCAAAGTCTGTCGTTAGAAAAAGTAATCGATTATTTAAAACGAGTAGCTTTATTAAAGTTTCTAGTCCAATTTGAATTGAAATTCTACGTGTATTATAATATTTTATTCGTTATAAACATGTCAAATGGTCTGAATATAGATTCCAGGCGATCCATATGATAAAAGTCTAGTATATGTGATCTAACTCTTCTAAGTGATAAGATTTTCGCCTTTCCAAAAGAAAAAAAAAATGATAAGAAAGATACAAGGTAAAACTTATTGTGGCCTAAGTCTATATTATTATTTTTTAGGAAAGGGAAATAAACAATTATAAAAGAGTAAATTACACAAATACTCTCATGGGACAATGTCTATACTTTTTATTTATTTATTTTAAACACGAACCATCCATTATGGTTTGTTTTTGTATTGGTTTGGTCTATATTCAACAGAAAAGGATTAAATTATCATTACTTATATATATATATATATATATATATATATATATATATATATTATATATATATATATATATATATAGGGTTAGGTTCATTTGAGACCACTTATATTTTGTGAGACTGTGAGACGTATTTTTTTATTTTTTATTTTTTTTTAATTTTTTTTAGTTAATTCATGTTCCGAAAATAATATTTAAAAAAATAATTTTTTGATTTTTCCATTTATTTTGCATTTTAAAATTAATGTACAGTGTAATATTCTATTTACAATATTTCACGTATTTTTAAAAAAAAATAGATTTTTTTTATTTATTTTTAATTTTTTTTAGTTAATTCAAGTTCCGAAAATAATATTTAAAAAAAGAATTTTAGATTTTTCCATTTATTTTGCATTTTAAAATTATTTTTTAGAATATGTCAGTGTAATATTCTATTTAGAATATTTCACGTATTTTTCAAAAAAAAAAAACGGAATTTTTTTTATTTTTTTATATATTTTTTAGTTAATTCAAGTTCCGAAAATAATATTTAAAAAAAGAATTTTTGGATTTTTCCATTTATTTTGCATTTTAAAATTATTTTTAGATTTGGTTTCACGGTCTTACAAAATTAGAATGATCTCAAATATATATATATATATATATATATATATATATATATATATATATATATATATATATATGTTCAGGTTTATTTGAGACCATTCTAATTTTTTGAGACCGTGAGATCAAATCTAAAAATAATTTTAAAATGCAAAATAAATAGAAAAATCTAAAAATTCTTTTTTTAAATATTATTTTTGGAACTTGAATTAACTAAAAAAATATATATATAAAAAAATAAAAAAAAATCCGTTTTTTTGTTTGAAAAATAAGTGAAATATTCTAAATAGAATATTAAACTGATATATTCTAAAAATAATTTTAAAATGCAGAATAAATGGACAAATCTAGAAATTATTTTTTAAATATTATTTTCGGAACTTGAATTAACTAAATAAATAAAAATAAATTCTATTTTTTTTGAAAAATACGTGAAATATTTTAATAGAATATTACACTGACATTTCTAAAAAATAATTTTAAAATGCAAAATAAATGGAAAAATCCAAAAATTCTTTTTTTAAATATTATTTTCGAACTTGAATTAACTAAAAAAATTAAAAAAATTAAAAAAAAATAAAAAAAATACGTCTCACGATCTCACAAAATTAGGCCGTCTCATATGAACCTAACCCTATATATATATATATATATATATATATATATATATATATATATATATATATATATATATATATATATATATATATATTACACGAATGGTCCCTATGGTTTAGGGTAATTTGCATGTTTGGTCCCTAACTTATTTTTGTAATTTGGAAAGTCCTTACTGCTTGTTTTTGTTATGCGCTTGATCATTGTCTTACCTAAAAAATGTTATTCTGCCATTGATTTTTTAAATTTATTTAAATAAATACACTCCAACCCTATCCACTCATCTTACCTTACTCACCCCATTACTTTTCTCAATTTAAATAATAATCTTTTTAGGTAAGACGAAGATTAAGTGCGGAACAAAAACAAACAGTGGGCACCAACGCGTAACAAAAAGAAATAGTAAGAACCTTCCGAATTAAAAAAATAAGTTAGAGACCAAACGCGCAAATTATCTCAAACCATGGGGATCATTCGTGTAATTTACTATATATATATATATATATATATATATATATATATATATATTATATATATATTATATATATATATATATATATATATATATATATATATAGAAACAATTGAGAGTTTTGGGCTGTAGTTTGAGATTCGGTCCCTGTTTGTTGTATAGGTGACCCATAGTGTCGATTATTGGATATATGATTAGTGTTATTATCTGCTAGACCGTGATGTAAGTTTTCTTACTATACTATGTATTACAATATGTTTCACTTTGTGTAGGATGTTGTTATGTTGTAGTGTTTTGTTAGACTGGTAAATCTGCTATGATTACCTGTGTCTGCTTGTTATTGTTTTGTGCATATGTCAACATAATATGGTTGTGTTGAGGCGGTATTGCTTTGTGCTGTAAGCCAACAAACCCGAGGAGCAATCCAAACATAAGCTGAAGGTCCGGGAGCATCTATCCAGCCTTATGATGTGGGCTCGAGAGCAAGCCAGTTATAAGCTAAGGGTTCGGGATGGGGTAATCCTGTCTTATGTTGTGGGCTCTGTTGGTGATTTTAGTGTTATTCAACATAATTTGGTGTAATTACTATTAATAATGAGATAGACTGAGTTCCATTTACTAACCAGGGGCCTGGGGGTAGTGACCCTGGGTACAAGGTTCCAGGGGGTTGCTCTCTTGGCGGTGGTTCCGCTGAGTTCCATTTCGGGGAGGGGCTCAAGGCAACGCCCCGAAACCTAAACGAATTTTTATACCGGGTATGACTCCAACCATGCATTTTCCCGCCAAAACTGCAAGCAACCACCAATAACTACTTTTCCCTCTTGTATAAGAACATACTTCATGTTCTGGAAAATAGGCTACATAATATACTCTCAAAATCTATTTGTTAAGATTTGATCTATCTCTTAAGAACACATTAAAATGTATTTTGTGTTTCACAATCTGAATTAGTCCTGTACTTCAGATTGGTTCATTCTTGGATTATCCTACTTTCGAATTCGTATACCCCTGATAAAAGGGATGAATTACCGATTTCGGAAAGTGTTTGAAAAAACAATCCTCGAATCTATCCAAGTTTGTATTTATTGTTATTCTAATCCCTGAAATTCTAACATTCGAAATATGTAATTTCTATAAAAGAATATCAGTGGCAGAATCTGTTAAAGAGTTGACTTCCAAATTCGGGAAGTTGGATAAGTGTTTGAAAAAACAATCCTCGAATCTATCCAAGTTTGTATTTATTGTTATTCTAATCCCTGAAATTATAACATTCGAAATATGTAATTTCTATAAAAGAATATCAGTGGCAGAATCTGTTAAAGAGTTGACTTCCAAATTCGGGAAGTTGGATAAGTTTGAAGGCACTGATTTTCGTCGTTGGCAAAAGAATATGCATTCATTCTTACTACACTGAAATTTGTTCACATTTTAAACACTCCTGCACTAGAACCAATGAAGGATGAAATCCTTGAACATACCAGAAGAAGATGCAAATAGGAAAATAATGATTACATCTATCGTGGGCACATTCTAATTAGTATGTCTAACTCTCTCTCTCTCTCTCTCTCTCTCTCTTTGATTTCTATCAAAATCAAGAATCTGCAAAAGATCTGTGGGGTGCCCTTGAGTCCAAATACATGGAAAAGGATGCCTCAAGTAAGAAATTTCTTGTCAGTAATTTTAACTCATGAGGATTTTGGGATAATTTAAACAACACAAAATGCAAATGGAAGAATCTATTTCTGTCTCAAGTGATATTGACAAAATTTCCCATCCTGGAAAGACTTTAAACACACACTGAAACACCAAAAAATAAGAGTTGTCTCTAGTAAAACTTGGAAGTCACTTGATAATTAAAGAGGGTCTTCGGGCTCAAGAAAGTGGCAAAGGAAAAGAAAAGGAAGTTCATGGATCTTTAGTGAACATAGTGGTAGATGACAAACATCCAAAAGATAAAAAAAGAAAAAGTAAGAAGAAAGATGACCATCATAAGGGTCCAAATAAGAAATCAAAACTTATGTATTGGAATTGCAACAAACTTGGTCACATGAGGCGAGATTGTTGTTTAAAGAAGAACAAAAATGATGCAAGCACTTCGGGACAAGGATCTAATGAACAAGGTCCAAAACCACAAGGTTAGAATTTTATTTATAATATTATTACTATTGTTGTCATATATCATGTTACATTTATTCCTGAATCATTCTATGTTCAGGATGATGATCATGCATGGTGGATAGACTCGGGGACGACAAGTCATGTGTGTAAAGATCTCTCTTGGTTCAAGGATTATTGTAACGTCTGTGTTTTTGGGCTTGTCATTAATGTTGATATAATAGTCTAGGTTAACCTTTGTAACCCGTTTTGAAATAATAAAGATGTATTATTTGATTATTATGTGTTTTGTGCTTAGTTGTGTGACTTAATTGAATTAAGAATAAAAATAAGCGTCAAAATAAAATGTTATATAAGCTCAATATCTATGGATAATTTTCTAGTAGTTGAAATGAGGTTTCCGAATATATAAAGAATACCAAAATCCGAGTTATAACGAAGAAGTTATGACCTGTCGAAGTTTCGCGACAGAACCGACAACGCTGAATGACGTAAAAAGTGAAATTTACGTTAGAGCGATATTTAGCCTTAGTGATCTAAACGAAACTCGTAGAGTTCGTTAAACCGAGAGCGTGCATAAAAACAACGCCCAAATCG